GGCCTTTGAGCTGAGATTCTTCTCCTTGCTATATTCCCATTATATTTAGGTTTGATCTCTTTATAGAGTCCAAGATTTCCTAGCTGTTTTGTGTCAGAAATTTTTTAGATTTAATGTTTTTTGGCTGAAGTATCTATTTTTTCTGTCGTATCTTGAATGTCTGAGATCCTACCTCCCTCTCTTGTATTCTCTTGGTTGCATCTGTAGTTCCCGTTCACTTACCTAGATTTTCCATTTCCAGAATTCCTTCATCTTGTTTTTTCTTCATTGATTCTATTTCCATTTTCAGGTCTTGATCAGTTTTTATTTATTTCCTTCAACTCTTTGTTTTTTCTTGGCTTTCTTTATGGGATTTATTCATTTTCTCCAATTTTTTTTTGTGTTTTCCTTGATTTCTTTAAGGAGTTCATTCATTTTTACTTTTTAAGGACCTCTATCATCTGTATAAAGTTGGTTCTAAGGTCTTTTTCTTGTACTTTGGCTGTGTTGGGATATGCGGGGCTTGCTGTCGTAGGACAGCTGGGCTCTGGTGGTGACATATCACCATGGCTGTTGTTGATTGCATTCTTCCTCTAGCCCAGGCATTTGGGTTTGGGGTGATTTCAGGTCTATGTGTCAAGTTTATCTTTGGTGGGTGTTTTATTTCTTGGTTTCTCTTTCCTTTTTGGTCTTTTCTTCTGTGTGGCCTATGGTTGAACAGAGGTTCTTCTCCCCAGCTGAGGACTGGACTTCTGGCAGCTGGCCTGGCCTCTTGTTGAGCATGGCCTCTCCATCTGAATTGGGGATTGGAACATTGTGATTAGGGGAGGGGCGATTGGGGGTAGTGTCTGGGGTGAACTATGAGAGTGGAGAAAGTTCTGGGTCAGGAAGTCTATCTGGAGTTCTGGTGGCCTAGTGGTCTCTGGTCCAGCAGTTGAGGCTGCTTCAATTTGCCTACTGGTTCTCCTGGCTGCTGTGGCTTGCACTTGAGTAGGGGATGTCTGCCTGAGTTATGTGATATTTCTAATAGATTCCCAGGTGGCACATACTGAGATGTGGAGTCCACATGTGCATCTAGATCAGACCAGAAAGTCTAATATGTATGCCTCCATTCGTCTACACGAGTCTTGTTTGTGAAAAGAGTTCTATTGTATTAAATTTTTTAGCTTCTGCTTCTTCCTGAACCATCGCTGCACACTTGCTGTTTTTTAACTCAGCGCGCGCGCACACACACACACACACACACACACACACACACACACACACACGGGCTGTAGAGATGGCTCAGAGGTTAAGAGCACTGGTTGCTCTTTCAGAGATCTTGAGTTCAATTCCCAGAAACCACATGGTAGTTCACAACCACCTGTAATGAAATGTGGTGC